AGATATAAAAACTTACAAAGTTTATGTCATTCATTCGTCTTGATAAATGAAAGAACCCCTATCAAGCGAGGGCGAGCAGCGGGTCCTGATAGATTGACACTTGAGATTTTTAAGGATCGCGGTTTAGTTTTAGGAGTTAGATTGACTGAGATCTTAGGTAGAATCTGGGAACTGGACACAATCCCATCAGACTGGTCTCAATCCTTGATTGTCCCAATTTATAAAAAAGGACAAAAGTCCTCTTGTCACAATCACAGAGGAATCAGTCTAACTAATAGTTTCTAATTTATTAGTATCAACTATACTAAGACGCCTAACTAGAGCTCGTGAAGAGCAGATTAGAGAAAACATGGCTGGTTTCGGACCTGAATGTGGCTGCATACAACACATTTTCACAATACGACAGGTCCTGGAACACAGACACACATTTAGGCGTCCGACGATGGTTATCTTCCTGGACATTAAGGCGGCATTTGACTCTGTTGATCGTGAGGTTCTGTGGCAGTCTGTCATTGAGAGGTGTATCAAAGAAGTACATTAACTGTCATCGGAATTCTCTACTTCAAGTGGTGTTCATCAAGGATGTCCACTTTCCCCATTCTTGTTTAATTTTGTCATAGACATGCTTCCAGATATAAGATTATCCTCGTCAAATGTTTCAGGAGTGGACCTTCTACTAGGGGAATCGCTTACTGACTCAGAATATAACGATGATGTAGACCTACTTGGTGAAGACGCTGACAAATACAGTCTTCTAAACTAAACATCCATGCAAGCATGTTGTGGATGTGATTCTCCACCTCAAAATGCAAATTATGGATACAAAATTAGCGGTCTCTGTCCACGTAAACTTCGCATTGCTTAGCACTTTATATAGAGGTGCTGCTATATCGTTGAAGTTCTTCACGAATCTGCTGTAGAACGCCGCCCTTCCCAGGAACTGTCTTAACTTCCTTTTTGAGTTGGGAACTGCAATGTTCTTTATCGTTAGAATCTTCTCCGGCAGTGGTTTTATTTCTCCATACCCTACTTTATGCCCAAGCAACGTGACGCTTCTTTTCGCTATCTGAGACTTGCCTTTGTTAATTCGTAAACCAAACTCATCAATTCGCCTTAGGACCGCCTCCACGTGCCTCACATGTTCTGCATCTGTACGACTATATACGACCAAATCATCGCCATAAACCTCGACATTCTCCAGGTTTCTGAGCAGCAATGTCATTAGTCTTCGAAACGTAAACGGTGCACCCGCCAATCAAAAGGGCATTCGCTTAAACTGATACTGCTTCTCCCGTACGGTAAATACCGTTTTGCTGCGATCACTGTCTTTTATTGGTAGCTGCCAACAGCCCGACCGTAAATCTAACACTGTAAACAGCATAGCACCCTGTAGACGATCTAATGTCTCCGCTATTGTTGGCATTGCACATGGTTTTAGTTCCGCCACGTTATTCAGTTCTCTAAAGTCAACACACAATCTATACTTTCCATTGGGCTTCTTTACCGAAAGTACCGGCGAGCTGCACGGGGTATCTGCTTCTTCAATTATACCTGCCTTTAACATCTCCTGTACCTGCTGGTTTATCTCAGCTTCCAAATGTACGGGAACCTGTCGTGTTGTGAAGATGATCACTTCTTCGTTCTTCATCGGAATTTCATGTTTAAATTTATTACAAAATCCGTACGGTTCTCCGTCTCCCGTGAACAACTTCGTATATTTCGTGAGCACCTCGGTAATGTTCTGTTTCTTTTCATTGTCCTCTTTTGCTACTCCAGCCACCTCGCTGCTTTCATGTATTGACAGTGTGCCGTACTTTGTAAGCACCTTCTTACTTCTTGTATCAATGATTGCTCCTACTTCTCTCAAGAAATCTGCTCCTAGTATTGGTCTCGACAAGTTCGTAGTCACTACAAAGGGAAACTGTATTTTCGAACTGCCGATTTTCACGATATCATTTGAGACTCCGAGGATTTTTAACACGTGGCCGCCGATGGTGTTAACAACTAATGCACTCGGCCTGATACTTCTACACCGCTCTTTGTCTATTAACGAAACTGCCGCCCCTGTATCATTCAGGCACACTACCTCTCGCTCGTTTATCCCTATTCTCGCATAGACCGCCCGCCTATCTACTACTGCCGCGACCCCCATTTCCACAGGATATAAATAACACCATGCATATGGTCTAAAATGTTTACGTTTTCGTCTTGTTGGAAAATTCCTCTTCCCATGCCCGGTTCCTCAGCAAGTATAGCATTTATTATTATTTCTTCCACCCTTTATTCGTAACGCTGCCACCTCGCGTTGTAACTCTTCTAGCTTCTTTGCGACATCATCCGCCTGTCTCTCAAACGTCAGTGAGGCGACAGTTGGGTTCATCAGCTGTCTCGTTACTTTTGCAGCTCGGTTGCGCCGCGTTCACCAGTCTCAACTGTTGGGCAACCTCTGCAGGCACACTTTCAATGAATTGCGACGCTAGCAGCTGTACTTGCGACTCCTCATCCAAATTCGGCAGACCCCGGCGCAGTAATCTTGTCAACTCCACAGCCAGCACGAGTGGGTCGCCATGCATCGTCAATCTCGCTTCTCGGAACTTCTGCAGTGCGTCCTGCCTATCCGCCGGGCTGTCGAACTCCACCAGCAGCCTTTCCGTCACCACCTCCCAGTCAGCGTCCTCCATACCATCGTATACCGCTCTCGCCCTGCCTCTTAGTAGAGTCCCCTACACCACCACCTTCGCCCTCTGCTCCTTGACTCCTACCAGCCCCACCACGGATTCGAACTCCTTCAAGAAGCTCCTTACATCTCCGTCTTCAAACTCCCGAGGCCCTGGGATCTTCATCCTGTGTAGAGGCAGCGACACCAATTGAGGCAGGCGAAGAAGATTGTGTTATGCAAATTTACACTCCGAGTCAGTTAAAAATGAAAACATTACATTGAATACTCTATCTGCACACCATCTTAGAGTCGTGACTTCCAACACTCTATCCTTCTTCCATTCTTGTTGTTGCTTCCTTTCCTTCCTGTTGGTACTCCATTTTTTTCTTGCTTTTGCTCCATTTGCTTTCCGTTTTCCTCTTCTGACCGTGAGACTTCTTCTTTCACGTCCCTTCTTATACTACTTATATCGTTCGCATAAGTAGCACACACCACACTGGCACCTGAACTAGTGAAAGTTAGTGAAGTAGTCGAGCGTGTAGATCGCTTCACTTACCTGGTGTCTCATCAGTGCTGATGGCCTGGTGAATGACGAAATGTCAGCACGGATACAGAAGCCTCGACTGGCTTTTGCCAAATTGCGTCACTTATGGTGTAGGCGACATGTTTGTCTGCTCATCAAAGGACGAGTGTTCTGCACAGCCATTCTCTCCATCACACTTCATGTCTGCGAAACATGACCAGTCAAAGTTGAGGATATTTGCAGGTTACTGGTTTACGATCATAGGTGTCTTCGAAGGATTGCTCGTGTATCATGGGACAACCGTATAAGCAATGCGATCGTGAGGAAACGGGTACTAGGTAGGGATGGCAAATCAATAGATGAAGTAGTGAAACTTCATCAGTTGAGGTGGTTGGAACATGTGTTACGTACGGCTAACCACCGACTGCCACGACGAGCTATGTTTTGCAGTGTAGGAGTAGGTTGGTAGAGAGCTAGGGGTGGCTAAACCAAAATATGGCATAAATCCATGAAGTCACTGACAAGTGGACTGAGCCATGTCAGTAAGTGTCGACTATCTGGTCGGGGTACAAGAGATGTTAGTTATCGATGTCAAGAGACCCTGAATGACATGTCTGTAAACCGTTTACAATGGAGCAGGTGTATTCATTCTTTATGTTCTCTCAAATCCAAAACTTTTTAATTCTTCATCACCTTTATCATTTTCTTTTAAGTTTGTTTCACTAGGTTATACTCCTTGAAGAATTTCGTCGAACCCTGATCTCTCCGATTAATGTTCATACCTTTACTACCTCTACTACTATGGGATTTGAATTGACAATTGTATCTCTGTGCTTACGTAGTATAGCATCATGAACTGATGTACGTACGTACGTACGAAGTTCTACGTCGCTATTGATTGAGACTAAGTCTAAATCGATGATGTAGGCAGAGTGAAGTTTGTTTCAGTGAATAATTACTAGAAATCCGAATGCTTAACTATTAAGCTACAACAAGATGCATAATATAACGTAGGCAGTATAAATATTTGACGCTTGCAACAAATCATTATCAAATAATTATTATTTTCACTAGAAAATGAAGCTCAACAGTAATAGTATGTAGTCATAATCACCTTTAGCACTGGATAAAATAGAGTGATTGTGTTGACTTAGGCGCCACATTCAATTCAGTGTTTTGGAATCTCCGTGGTAATTTTCGAGATTTTCTCCATATATATGACAGGACTATTCGTTTTCTACAGTTGATCTGGCAATAAATAGTGACTCGATGCATCGTAAACTTTTTTTAATGAAACCGATGGAGGGGGGTAGTCAGTTTTACAGGAGATACACACAGACAAAGAATAAGTTAAAACTCTAGACAGAAATAATTATGGGAGGATCAAACAATTTCTGGAAGTTTGGCATACAGATTCTGTCAGCAATCAGCAGATTCATAGTATTAGACTGGCAAACAGAACAAAACGATCAACTTGATGAATAAGAGAACAAACACAATGACATTAAAACAAACTGATCTAAGACTGACTAGTAAACTGACTGAGCTCATTGATGATTTTGGTTCAGAACGATAAAGCAAAGCTTTTTGAATGATGAGCCAACTATTCTCAACACTACTATTGAAAATATCCTCTTCACAACTGTATATCTCGATCGTTTCAACACAAAATATACATACACAGTGAAAATTATCTAAAAACTATGTTTTTTCATGAAAAAAATAAATAAATAAAGTAAAATATTTCGTTTTTTCCACAAAATAATAATAAAAAAAAGAAACATGGAAGAGAAAATTTTGTTTTTTTTAAATCGCTAACATACAATTTTAAATTTTTTTTTAAATCAATCAACTGAATTTGAAAAATTTCTCTAATGCCCATTTCAATTGGGTTTCTGTTACACCTAAATAACGTGCAATACCTAATAATATTGTATACAATACAGTACAATAAACACCATGACGTAATACATAATTAGTTGGTATACCGGCTGCTGCAGTTTTACTACGTGTTCGTACGACATCACCTAAATGCTGATGTGATTTCAATGCTAAATCAATTGCATGAAATGCTCGACATGAATTTGGATAACCATTGATACATTTTAAATAATGTGAATAGATAAAATGTGGTTGTCCAGCTATTGGTACTCCTGACCTATAAAAAAAAGGAGAGATAAGAATGAGAAACAGGAGACTATAATATACTACTCACTTAATAATCATCATACATACAAACGTACTTACTTACGCCTGTTACCCCCAATGAAGTATAGGCCGCCCACCAGTTTTCGCCAACCAACTCTGTCCTGGGCTTCCCTCTCCAATTCTGTCCAATGTTTGTTCATTCCTCTCATATCTTTCTATATTTCTCGGCATAATGTGTTCCTTGGCCTTACCCTTTTCCTTTTGCCTTGAGGGTTCCATGTGAGCGCTTGTCTCGTGACGCAGTTAGGTGCTTTTCGTAGTGTGTGTCCTATCCACTTTCACCGCTTCTTCCTGATTTCCTCCTCCACTGGAATCTGGTTTGTTCTCTCCCACAGTACGTTGTTACTGATGGTGTCTGGCCAACGAATGTGAAGTATTTTGCGTAGACAACTGTTCATAAATACTTGCATCTTCTGGATGATGGACGTACCGACCAATATAGCGTGTCTTATGGAAATGAGTCAAGTTATGAGTCACATCAATATAATAAGATAATAGTGTCCTTCAATTAGTAGGTCATTTACAACAAAGAAAGTTTACAGACACGTCAGATCAAGATCACGTGGTGGGCGCTTAAACCACAATTTGATTGGTTAGTTATGACATAACTACAATTAGTTATGGAAATAACTAACATACTCATCATTTCTATCTACTCAATGATGAAATGATACTCAATCCAATTATACACATACATATGTACATGCTTAGAGGCCTGGTGTCCTTCATGAAGCACCGGTCGCCGACAAGCAATATTCTTCAATCGACATTGTCTTCGGCTCACCTCTTCAACAGTTGTTGGCAACGTGCTATTTTGCCTTTCGATGTCTGCTTCGAATTTTCAACGTAACGTGTTCGTCGGTCCACCTGTTGTCCTTTGGCCTTGAGGACGCCAGGTCACAGCTTGTCTTGTGATGCAGTTAAATGATGAATGACTGGTCTGATTCCAGAGATTTTTCCGAATTTCTTCCTCAAATGGAAACACGTTTGTTCTCTTTCACAATAGGTTGTAGCTCATGGTGTCTGGTCAACGGATCCAGTCAGTCAGTCAGTCAGTTACAACGTGAAACTCCATACGTACGTACATCAGTTCAAGTTGCCATACCACATTAGCACAGAGATACAATTATCAATTCAAATCCCATATTAGTAGAAGTATTAGCGGTGATTTGTGATCGAAGATATCATTAGAGAAGAATATGCAAGAGGAATCAATTTAAAATTAAAAAAGAGGGAAAAAACGGTCATGAGGAATTTAGAAGATTAGAATTTGAGCAAACACAAAGGGTGGAAGGCTTAGTCCAGTTGTCAGTGACTTGATGGATTTGTGCCATGTTATGAGTTGGATGCCCATAGCTTTCTTTCAGCCTACGCCTACACCAGGCATCATCGCTCGTCGAGGCAGTCGGTGGTTAGCCATACGTAACACATGTCCCAACCACCTCAACCGATGAGGATTCACTACTTCATCTACTGATTTGCTATCCTTACCTAGTACACGTTTCCTAACAGCATTGCTTATTCGATAGTACCAGGATATACGAGCAATAGTTCTAAGACATCTATGATCGAATACTAATAGCCTACAAATATCCTCTACTCTTAGCGGCCATGCTTCACACGGATCTGCTGGATCTTGTGTAGACAATCGTTTCTCAGTACCTGTATAGTTTAGATGACGGATTTCGAAGTTCTCTAACTTCCAGCTTCATACAATACAACTGCCTTGACGTCTGTAATGAAAATTTAGACTTTAGTGTTGGCAGATAGTTGATTAAAGATTCGGGATCTGATTCCGATTTGGATGAATAGTTGAATATTCTACGAAATAAATCTTTCTTATGAGAACTTCATTTGTGAGACAGTGGTGATTAAAAATTCAAGTACGGCTTTATATGGATACATTTGGAATGCAAGAAGACAGATAATATAGCGAATCGTAAAAGCGGAAAAGGCGAGTGGGCCAATTCAATTTTATGACGCAAGACAAGGTATTCATAGTCAGACAAAAATAGTCTAGATATATGCGGTAGGAAAAGTACGCAGTACACATAAACTCAAATAAAAATAACCAAGGTTTATGATGAGAGAATAAATGATAAGGTCGAAAGACGTGTGAGTTGCATATATTGAGGCTTACTGCTGCAGAGGCTGCTACTACACTGGCCATCTTCACCTGTGCACTTATTTCTGTATCTGGAATAGAAACTGCGAACTCCAAATCTTCTATCTGCATCCAAGCTGTCCGGTGTGTGAAGTGGGCATCCATTTGTACTGACGGGACTCAATGAGTGCCTAAGTATAATGCAATACTCACTGAGGAGACAACCACTCTAAATTTTATTCGTTATTGTACTGTCGCACATTGATTTCCTAGATATCATTGTAAATCTCGATGTACAGGTGTAAGGTTGCTGAAAAGATATACTCTAAATCAAATTGAATCTCTTCACATGAATGTTGTCCAGTTAGAAAGGAATGTTACTCAGATATTATATGCTATTGAAGATCTTCCTCAATTTATAAAGGATTGATACATGACTTGTGTCGTAGTACCCGACCGTAGCTGCCACCTTGACGTGGTGCTCGGGCTTGCCTATCGTGATGACCCAACCGAGCTATACTGGCTGGAACATATGTTCCTGAAGGCCCTACCATGCCAGGCAGGTCGATTGGAGAACGATGAGACTAAAAGCAGCTATCCAAGGTCTGAGGGCGAAGTCGTACTGCTGACCGCAGGGGTGTGAGAGCAGTAAGGTGTTTCCCTCGGACAACCAGCATCTTCAACGATGCTACCTTCTCACAATGAAGGTGGCGGTTAGAAAAGGTCGACCCTAAAAATATAACACCTCACCCTACCTCACGGATTTCCGTCTCCTTGGATAAGTGTGCCCACCAAGGGCCTTTAAGAGCGGAGCTAATCCTCAAAAATCCTTTAATAAAAAGGCCGTGCGTGACCGGCCTCAAGCAGTTGTCCCTTGGACTCTGCGGTCACGCTCCCAGGTCTCCAAGACCAACACTAATCCATCTTCCTTTTCAGGTCCCTCAAGAAACAACCATCCACGGTGTGGGCAGCCGGGAAGTGACAACCGCCGTCATATCCGTAACAGCACGAGAGACCGATTCGGTCGAAATCAAAGCCTTCCTACACCCACACATACCTCTCTTCTCTCCACAACTAACTCTACTCACACTCCCTTATCTGACTGTACCGCTTATGCAAACGATGCGAGTTCACGAAACGTCATTCCTGGTCTCTTGAAACCTCGTTCTAGTCTACATGTTAGAGCATTTATTGTACGGACATTGTGTCAAATAGGGCAACAGGCATCATTGGCTCCTAGAAATAACCTTATTCTCGTCTGAATTTTCAGGAGTAGACCTTTTACCAGGTGGCTTGCTTATTGACTTAGAATATGCCGATGACATAGTCCTACTTGGTGAAGACGCTGACAAAATGCAGTCTTCTGAATACCCTAAGCAACAATGCAAGTTCGACGTTGCATCTGACTGACTGACTGTGTCGTAGAAGTACAATGAACAAGGCATAATAAAAAAGGACAGATTTAAAATTAAAGTAATAAACCAGATATTTAAACCTGATTTTTCAGATGACTATAACCGGCATGTTTCTAATGCTTCTTCTGTTAATCTCGATATGACTCAACTAGAAGTCTCATATCATTAGGATCTTAGTTTCGTCAAGTGTGCATCACTTGAAGGCTGATATTCAAGTTAAGAATCTATTTACCCGAATATAAAACTTGATACTCTCAACAAATATCAAACTTAAAATCAAAAGACCTGTTTGACAGGACATTTCATGCCGCCAAGTTACATGTAGTCTTTCAACCAAACCAATACTTACATAACAAACCAAAGATTGATTACCGATAGGTAACCAATTCAACTGCTCCCATGGAACTAATTACATAGGCCATAATCACACAGTGTTATCCTCGCATGCTCATGAACATGCATGCACCAGCATAGTTTGGAAAAGGAGTCTGCATATCTATTGACAGCGTCATCCTTTCTCGCTTGCAATGAAGGTTTCTCGTGTTGGTTTCGGTTTACCGAATTCCAGACAATCTACCTGAAGTAGCTAAATAGTACCAACCTCTTAATAACCATTTTTAATTCCTTTTATGTTTATATCTATTGTTAATCTACGTGCAGCAGTTCACTCCGTTCTCCTATATGGCTGTGAAACATGGCCAGTGAGAGTAGAAGATATTCGTAGGTTACTGGTTTTCGATCATAGGTGTCTTCGAATCATTGCTCGTATACCGTGGGACAACCGAGTAAGCAATGCTGTCGTTAGGAAACGAGTACTAGGCAAGGATGGCAGATCAATAGATGAAGTACTGAAACTTCATCAGTTGAGGTGGTTGGGACATGTCTTGCGTATGCCGAACCACCGACTGCCTCGACGAACTTTGTTTTGTAGTGTATAGGAGTAGATTGGAAGAAAGTTAGGGGCGGCCAGACCAAATCATGGCAGAAATCCATGAAGTCAATGACAAGTGGACTGAGCCATGTCGGTAATTGTCGACTACCTGGTTGAGGTCCGCGAGATGATAATAATCGATGGTTAGAGACCTTGACTGACATGGCTCAAAATCGTTCGAAATGGTGCCGCTGCATTTATTCTTTGTGTTCTCTCAAACCCTAATCTTCTGGATTCTTCAACACCTCTAGTTTCGACTTTCTAAACTTTTCTCACTGAATCATACTTCTTGAATAGTATCTTCTAACCCTAACCTCTCCGATTACTTCTAATTCCCTTACTACCTCTACTTCTATTGGATTTGAATTGACAATTACATCACTGTGCTGATGTGGTATGGCAACATGAACTGATGTACTTACGTACGAAGTTCTACGTTGCAACTGACTGACTGACT